CCTCTTCTATTGTCAATGTCTTCTTGGTTTTTACAAGTGTCAAAGAAAATTAAATTACACATCAGTACATGTGATTTTTCATCTAATTGGTCACATGACCTGTCACGAAATCACATGAAAAGTTACATAAATAGCATTTTTTAAGCATGGTGATTTCCTAATGCCATTTTTATACACGACATATTTACGTTTGTTGAATATTTGAGAAAGACAACGTAAGCAGACTCTAAACAGAGTGATCAAATGGTAAAATCAATTTTTTTAGAACAGTAGTGACATTTTGGTCAAATGGTACCTCTAAATACTACTGTTGATTTCCTGCATTATTTACATTTTGAACCCCTATCTGGTTATCTGACCATATCTCCTCCTCTATTTCCAATATCCTTATATTTACAGGTGTGAAAGAAAATAAAATTACGCATCAGCACATGTGATTCTTGACCTAATTAGTTACATGATCTGTCACGTGACAGCCTTGGTTGTCATATCAACAGCAATTTTTAAGGGTGACACGTCCTTGGCACCACTGTTCTTGACCACTTGAAAATGCCTGGAACAAATCTTCAAAACGGCTGTCGTCACTAAAATTAAAGGGACTCACACTGACAGTCTTCAAAATGTTGACGCGATTATTCTTCTTTGAATGGTTTTGAAAAGGCTGTTTACAATAATGCAATCAAGGTGGCTCAATACACTATGTCTTCATAAACAAAGATTTGGAAAAATTGCCACCATAGTTGTATTACATGAAGATAAAGATGGAGATTTGTTATGATCAGGGTTGCAATGACATCAGAGTTGTCATAGAAACGAAATGACGCCATTGCCAATTTTACTTGCAGCAGTATTTCTCGGCACTTGGAAATTTTACTCCAAAATGGTTCATGGGAGCTTTTTCCTCCATTAGCCGCCTCGATGTTTGTGAAGTTTAAGCGACATCTGTAAGAGCGTTATCTGATATTTTAAGATGAAGTTTTTATGGTTAGAAATATGGTAAAAAATAGACAATCTTGATGTTCGGCCGTGATCTGTAGAAAACGAGGCGCTTTTGACATGAAATTTCACCTCATGGTAGTTTCAATATTCTTAGAAACGCCGATTGGTAGAAAGAAGGATTTGATCAGTATGTATCGAGGCACTGTTGGCGCTTTTGTAAACATTTTGGTCTATTTTAACAAATTAGCAAATAACTTTTAAAGCGCTAGATAGATTTTTTTTAAAAAAATCAAGATTCCTGAGATTAACCGTCCTTTTATGTGACTTTTTAGTTTCAAGATTATTGATATGGCAGTAAAATAAGGGCTACAATTCGCTAATATTTTATAAGAAATTTTGTGTTTACAAGTGAGAGCTCTCATTATTCAGGGTATTGTCTCCAAGTCTCATATTTTCGTGGACAGCAATAGCTAGCATTTTTACATATTTCAAAAGCATTGTTAGTTAATGCTAGCGCTGTTCACGTGAAAATGACACTTGGAGACAATACCCCTGAATAATGAGAGGCTTTTAGTTGTAAACACGAAACTTCCGGTAAAAAATTAGCGAATTGTAGCCCATATTTTACTGCCTTACATTGTATCAATAATCTTGAAACTCAAAGGTCTCCTAAAACGACACTTAATCTCGAGAATCTCAACTTTTTAAAAAAATATATTGAGCGGTTAGAAAATTACACCACCATAATTATTGTAAAAAGCTGCAATATTCCCGACAATGTGAATACGGACACAACTCGAACAAAAACTATTTTTAAAGCTATTAAATTTAGCTAAGCTAGTAAATTTTAAGCCTGATTAGGCGATTTTATTGCTGTAATGCGCAGGCAGTAATGGCTTGTATAATGAAGATGATGTGAACTACGGACATACAAATTTAAATACAGATATGATCGCCACAGTTGTAATAACAGTTTAAGCAATTGCAAAATAAATAAAGCCGATAAAAAAATTTGAGGCCTTAACTGGATTCGAACTCGTGGCTTCTGAGTAGCAATGCTCTACCATTACTGAGCTACATCACTGAGATACATTGGGAGCAGGCTATACTGATCACGGCGATGCTTTGTGTACTAACAAGCGTACGCAAATGATGACAGTATTTTAATGAGAAAGTCTTTGTATATTGTTAAGTAATGGCCCAGATAAGAAGGAAAGGACCAAAACGCAGTGAACACGTCGGAATGCAAAAAGGTGCTAACTTTTCTATTGTCTCTACTAAGGTTCTGATTGGTTTAAACATCAAATTTTACGAAATCTTCGCAAAGCAGCATGTATATTAATCCCTTTTTTTCTATCCAACTTCCTTATAACAAAATCTCGTCTGAGTCTAAGTTACACAGAAATCGTATGTGCGGATCATGTAAAATTGTGAACATTTCTTGGCCATTGTTTGCAACTCTTGTGATTGGTCGAAATGTTTTAACACAAAAATACACCCTTTAAAAGTAGAGTTTAAATACATTTTCTTTCGTAAACAGCCTTTTTGTAGATTTATGCATTCTCTGGGTAAAAATGAAAAGATTTCTATGTGAGGAAAGCGTATTGCGCCACAACAAAAGAAATTGCTTCCCTTCTTACCTGGACCATTACTTAAATAAAGCCATTAAACTTAAAATGGGAAAAGCGCAAAATTACCTTATCTCATCCAGTGCCTCATGCACCTCCTCTGCATTTGTGATACTTATTTCCAGTTCCCCTTTGCATCCAACGTTTTCAAATTCTTCTTCCAGCCGTCGCTTTACTCTTCCTTTTTCTAAGTCTTCCACTAAAGAGACGAAGCTTTTTGTCGTATAACAGCCCAATTCGACAAGAATTGAGTTAAACGGCTCTACGTTCCGGATGTAACATGCCACTTGGTCAACCAAAACAACGGCTAATACTTTCATTACTACATCACTGATTTTTGCAATTCCGTCAATTAAACGATTGCCAGTAACTTTAAAGGAAACCTTGTATTCGGATCGGCCATCGTGTGTACTGGTCGAACTCGAAGCAGTGAATTCAAATCCCCCTTGTTGCTGTCCTGGTGCACCTGACAATGGACGGGAAAAGGAGAAATTGTACCTTAACAGGAGCCAATCACCTTTGGCCGTTCATCTTTCATCTAATTAAGGTGTACGTCATGATCAAAGCATTTTAGATTTTTGAAGATTCATCTCTCGCATAATAGAACTATTACCCAATCAGAGCCGAGTATGATTCCCAACAGGGTACCATACACGAAGTGACAAGCGAAGAGTCTGAGAGTTTAAATGATTGGAGATTACTGAACGGTGATTTTTGCATTTTTGCGGGAATAGAAATGGACGGAAAATCTAACGCACTGTGATACTTACTAGTAGCCAATGGACAACCCGGAGTGATGAACCCGGAGTGATGAGCTCCTGACCTTTATGGGTTGGTCTAGGAGCTGATATGATTTTTAACTTCTCTTTTAAACGACAAATGACAATGGCAACGCCTATTGGTAGAGCGACGCTTAGTGTTTTAAAGGTGCATTCTTTCTTCGTCGTAATGATGATGCTCTCACAGGAATCACGCAAAACACATGTACAATTGCGGTTGAGTGATTAGGGAACAGATATTAAGGAGAGTCTAATTTGATAATTCTAAAGTAAGACTTTATTGGAAAAATAATTCCAAGTACTATAAACCCTTACGACGCCCAAATAATAAACTAAATGGTCCTAAAAAAGGGTATCACTTCCTTTTCTTTCCCCCAATACGCCACTTACACATCTCCTATAATGCACCTTATTTGCCCCCAAAAGTTTGCATAAGCATTGTTTTCAATTTTTCTTGGGACGGCTGTAATACCCAGGAGAAATGAAAAAAAAAGGTTATGCAAAATCTGGGGGGACAAATAAGCTGCACTATGGGAGATGTACAAGTGGCGTATGTTGGTTTCACGCGCTTGCTCGGGCATAAACGCTATCAAAATCAACATTGAAAGAAACGGAACGAAGAAATCCGCTGGCGTTTCAGACCCGGAATGTAGTTTCACTGATAAGAACAAGTAGTAATCGCAGATTATTGAGTGCGTTCGTTGGTGCGTGCTTGTTTCATGGCGGCCGATAACACGTGTCATTGAGTTTAATCAATGAAGAGCTCCGAAGAAAATGAAATTAATACTTATCCTAATATAAAGGAGTGCTTAGATGGCAATAACCAAACCTTGAAGACATTGAAAGAGTGCAGGAACGACGAAAAAGATCACGGCTTATAATTTGTAGCAAAGGAACCAAAGATTATGAACTGTGTTCTCCAAACGTTGGACGCGATTATTTTGGACTGTTATTATCAGCTCAGTTCCTTTTATGAGAAATGGTTCACTTAGAATGTGATGTCTGCCATTTGCCCTTAACGTGATACTAAATCTCTATACAATCATTATCCTAGACACCGCCATATGATGATCACAAATATTAGCAACAGAATATTGTTATGTGTGGGGTTGGGTGGCATGCAAATCAATTCGCCATTTCCGCATTTCCCATAATACACTTTGTTGGCGTGTTTCGTGTACCTCAACGCACGCAAACAGTTTTGCATAAGAATTGTCTTCAAGTTCTCTTGGGACTTTCAGTCGTCTTCGCGAGTGCTTGCGTGTGTTGGGGGGCAACAAACACACAAACAAAGTGTATTATGGGAAATGTGGAAATGGCGAATTCTTGTCCTTCAAGATGGCTCTGCGTAGTGTTTGGTCATCGCGAATGTCAAAAACTCTCTTTTTTAAATTTGCCTAAAGAATTTGGTATGTTTGTTAGTCTTCGAAATGATCTATATTCTCAACGCGGAATTTTTCAACTCAACAATGGTTTTAACTCATAATAATGTTGTTATGCAGACGTTTTTCAGCTAACGAACAAGACTTGGCAGAAAAGTTTATTGGAGCGAGTATGGAGAATTGGTCGTTGATCAACATTAAGCTAGTAATAGACTGCAAAACAATTCGGTTTAGTGTAGCGTAGTTTTGCTGTCTAAGCCAGTAAAAGTATCCTAACCTTGTAATGTTAACGTAGCAGCATTCGAGTAAACTGTCCTCACACTGTTGGTAGCCACACATCTGTATTCTCCAGTATCTGTACTATTCATATTTGTTAGACTCAGTTGCTTGTTATCTGCTGATAAACTGATTCTTTTGTTGGCAATTACAGCAGATCCATCTTTGGTCCAAGTAAATGTTGGTTCAGGAACACCATTTGCATCACTTGAAAGGGTTACACTTGATCCTTGCACCAGAGTCTGACTCTGTGGGTGTTTAGTGAATTCAGGCTGATCTGTAATAAGAAATGAATGACCAAATGCACCCCTTAATCAGATTGATGCACATTTTCAGTTTACTAGATAGTTACCATAATAAATCAGGACTGAAGCTAATGATATACGATTGTGAAACCAAAAAAATTTCAAGGTTTGGAACAGTGACCAAACAGAGTTTAGTTTGGTAACAATGATTTCAAAAAGAAAAAGACGCTATCAGAGCGTACACTTGGGCGTCCTTGTATCACGCGTATGAGAGGATTTTTTTGTGTCCGGCACGTGTGAATGCCGCAATGTTGTTAACGTTTGGTTGGTTGATATGGGTGAAAAAGATTGGAGCCATAGTTGACGTTGTTTAGTATGCAAATAGCTCGAACTTTTCCTTGGAATTCCTAACGTAAACTGGCTCAACGAATTGCGAACCCACACGACTACCAACAAATGTTATGAACTGGTAGCCACTTCTCCATTTCGAGTGTGTTCGACTGTTGCCTGTCCAGCCATATTCGCACCGAACTCAAACCCAATATAGTTAAACATCAAACAGAAAAAAAAAGCAAAGTTGGTTGTTTTCACCAAATGTGTCTAAATCTTAAATAAGACTTGTAGTTCTGCCGTTTTCGAGGTCTTCGTTTTCGTGGTCTGCATTTTCGAGGTCTGCGTTTTTTGAGGTCTACGGTCTACGGTCTGTGTTTTCGAGGACATGCGTTTTCTAGATACCCTTTGATCTGACGGGTGGCAGGTGAATCGGTTCAAACCCCGGGTAAGCCAAAACAAGTAACTTATTATTCCTCGAATAAATTAAAAGATTTATTGTAGCAGAAACATGCCGAAAAGCCACTAACTTGACCCGAAGCTAGTGTATAATTTTATATCCATTTTTCTCTACCTTGGGTCGCAGTCGCGCATTCAGCTAATCCCTCAACTTAGAGTCTCACTGATCTGACGGGTCACAGGTGAGCCGGTTCAAACCCAGGACAAGCCAAAAATAATTATTGTTTCTTCCTCGAACAAAGAATAAATCAGACAACTCAAAGTGATCTCGAGATATCCAAACTAATTCCGCTCTCACTTCGGGACATAAGGCAGCAACTTTGGGACATCCCTGGGCGTCGCAAATCCTTTAATTGGCGCTCTGCCCAAGTAATAACAGATTGCTAGATGTGCTGACAAAGGCAACTACACTCCCAGACAAACGTAGTTGGGAAGGTTGAACAATTTAACAGTAGTCCATTTTAATCCTCAAAAAATGAGAGTTTCTCTTTTCCTAAATATCCCCGACCCTCTATTCAATGTTGGGATATAACAGAACAATTACGTGCACAAACATTAACGTTTTCCTCAACATTGGGCCAGGGGCGGGAGAAGGAAAGAAAAAAAGACGTAAAAAAAGTAGCCTACCCAACACTTTTGACAATGATTGTAGCTAAAGTTTTTAAAAGTACATGTGACACTGAGATGTTCTATGCTCACGGTCAATGTATTGATTGAAAGAGTGAGTGATGACCTAAGCAGTACACCTTTTGCTGTTCATTACGAGAAAATACGCATTCGTTTGCATGAAACGGCGACCAATAGCGTTAAGATACATTCATGGACGCGAAAAAACGAACATTTGCGCATAAATCAGATTCAATTACGATTTTTGCATTTTAATCAACATTCAATAACACTTTTGGGCATTCATATGCGTCATTCGGCATACAAAAGAGAAAGATATACTTTCGTTAACGCCAACATCAAAGTCATTAACACCATCTTAAAAGTCAGTAGGGACATAAGACAAACATTAAAGTGCAAACACTATTCATTAACTATTTTTTATGACACTGTTTGCAATTCAATAGCATTCCTGGACGGCCTTACGATGGTTAATTGCGTGTTCCTTACATTTAATGCACAAAAATCGATTTTCAAAAAAATAATATAAATTCAAACAAATTTGGCCTGGATTTTAGTCAATTATATCCCTCAATAAACTCTCTATTTAAACATTTTGCATCTTGGCAGGTAAGTTTGCACGAAGTGGTAACCATTAGCACATTTAGCTGCGGTCACAGTGTCTATGTTTCTGCGCAGTGCTTCAAGCAGTTGTTGTGTGCGAAACTCCCCTATTGGGATTTTTAGGGCTTTTGTCTCATTCCTGTTATCCATACATCTTTGAATTTCCGGACGCGATATGTCGGCCTTCATTGTCGCTTTCAGACGGCTTACATGTAATATGTGCCTATTCCACATTGTCGAGAGGGGGGAGCATATACTGTGTACGTATGAGGCGGGAATGGCCAGATCTGGGTGGGGCAGCACTGTCATACCCAAAGATCACCCACCCGTGGGGATCCATATTTGTCCTCGCTCATGCCGGGAAGTTACCGAATAACCGAAACAGCATTCATTACACCACCAGCTGCTGAGGAAAACATTGATAGGTGATACATGTACATGTATTGCCATGGTCATAGTCAAGTTTCGTCCTTGGCGGTACGCCCTCTCTCCCTGTCGCTCCCTATCATGACTTCTGGCCGTCCAAATCGTAAATGTATAGCCGCAGTCTAGGCCAAACACAGAGGGGCACAGTACGTCGTGGTTCTTTAAACCAGGTAGCGTAAAAATTCTGGCCAATTTTTTTGGAATTTCTATTTTTCAATTGAAAATCGATTGAATTAATTGTTCAATTGCTCAATTGATTGTTCAAGCGCATTAATGTTTGTCTTAACCGTCATAACGCCGTCCAGGAATGCTATTGAATTGCAAACAGTGAAATAAAAATGTTAATGAGTAGTGTTTGCACTTTAATGGTTGTCTTATGTCCCTATAGACTTTCAAGATGGTGTAAATGACTTGGATGTTGGCCTTAATGAAAGTATATCTTTCTCTTTTGTGTGCTGAATGACACATACGAGTGTCCCAAAATGTTAGTGAATGTTGATTAAAATGCAAAAATCGTAATTGAATGTCATTTATGTGCAAATGTTCGGTTTTTCGCGTTAATGAATGTATCTGCGCGCTATTGCCTCACCCTTTCACGCAAATGACTGCCTATTTTGTCTTAATAAACAGCAAAAGGTGTAGTAGTCTGGACATTACTCCAAGACCACAAAAACTGGGTTTGGCCGGGGTTAAAATTACTAACCAACATGTGTAACCAACACTGCAGTTTGCCCCTTAGCAAAAAACATAAAAAAAATGTGTTTTCTAGCATTGCACAACTTTTTTGATTTTGTATAAAAGAAAAGCGAAAGGTAATCAAAGTAGAGGCCCTTTTTTCTTTCCTCTATGTTACGGAAGATCGGCTGTGCTCATATGGAGTGACTGAGATACAGTGTGGCACGAAATTTATGTGGGAGTTTATTTTGGCAGATTGGCCATTTTTTGTGTTTTGCGGGAACTAATTTTTGCGACTAAAACAAACTGGTTTTTCTTGCTGGGAATTAATTTTTGCGATTTTCAGAAAGTACCCAGTGCCCAGCATTGATAATATTTTCGTTTTTGTTAAGTACGTGGAAAAGAAATATTATTTCTAAACAGTACTACGCTATTCGTACCCTATGTAATTTAACAGACACAATTTCTTAGTACTATATTTTTGTGTAGCGAATTTAAGTTAGAGAAAATTTACTCCGGAGTAAATTTTTGCGGGAAAAGTGTTTGAGGTAATTGTTATTTGCGGGAACTTATTTTTGCGGATCGCTGGAAAAATCGTAAAAATCAGAACCCGCAAAAATTTCGTGCCACACGATAATCCAGGAAAGTAGCAGTGGAGGGTGTGTAAAACGATGGTTATTTAGTGCTACAGGATTGCACAATTGGGTTTAAGTAAAAAGTTAGTAAATGTTTTCTTACAATGTACTGTTAACATAGCAGCATTGGAGTTAACTGTGCCCACACTGTTGGCAGCCACAGATCTATATTCTCCACTGTCTGTACTATTAACATTTGTAATACTCAGGTTTTTGTTATCTGCTGATAAACTGATTCTATTGTCGGCAGTTACAGCAGATCCATCTTTGGTCCAAGAAAATGTTGGTTCAGGAACACCATTTGCATCACTTGAAAGGGCTACACTTGATCCTTGCACCAGTGTCTGACTCTGTGGGTGTGCTGTAAATTCAGGCTGATCTGTGATAAGAAATTAATAAATAAATGCACCCTCCTAAGAGAGTGAAGTACATTTCCAGTTTAATATCTAATTACAAAATAACTAAGGACTAAAGTGTTCTCCTTATCAGTTAGTAACCGGTAAATTTTACAGCTTAAAGCAACACTTCTTACCGCCTAAAACTGCTTGGAAGTTTACTCACATCAAATTAGTTGTTTTAAAAAATAAAGCAAGTTGTGATCCCATCCGATTCTCACAAGGAATGAATGAATACCGGTATATTGAAAAGTAATAAAGTATACCGCAGCCTTTGTTTTTAGAAAGAGAACATTCAAGGCAGTGGTAAAACTATTGGAATCAAACGTTTTAAAATGTTGTCTAAATATTACAACAGTTTGATTCGCATTAAGTAAATTTAGGTCTTAAAATAAGGGAATGACGTTTCAGAGAACTTAGCTCCAAAATTTTCCTGCAAGGGGGGTCAATGTTCCTCACTCCACTAACCCCCCCTTCCTCTCGCAGGAAATTGTGCCTCTGGCGCATATTTTTTGCCTAACCGGCCAGGATTGGTCCATTACCTGCTGAGCTAAAATTTAGGTAGAACACTGGGACTGAAGTTAAGGATGTACTTCAATGATCTTAAGACACACTGGCAAAACAAAACTTAGATAACAGACCACGCTTGGAAATTTTGACCTAAAATTCGGCCAACTTTTCGCGGCCGCGCGGAGGATTGGGTCCATGTGAATCAAAAAAAAAAAATGGCGGCTCAAAGGGAACCTGACCAAGTGGAAGTTATTAGTGGCATTAAAGGAGCATTAAATCGCCAGAAGTCGAATTTTTCCCGGCGGATTTCAAATGTACATAAGCTGAGAGATCTAGATCAAACTTTTCAAGTGCTAGGGAAAGTGGCCGAGGCTGTTGTGAAGGGAAAATACGGTCCCCTTCGGGATCGATATCAGCATGAAATTTGTCCCATATCTTCCATGTTGGAGCGCACAATGATACGTGCTAAGAATGGCATTTATCGCCGACTTAGTCCGCGGATGAGTAAAATCCATCCTTGGATGATTTGTTTTGACGTCCCGATGCCACAGGAAGTGTTCAATTTATTGAATAAAGGGGTTGTAAATCTTACACGTTTTGGTGTAGATGTTTTGGAGCAGCCTTATTCAGTCACAATAACATTCTCAAGTATGAAAAGACTGTGTGCCTTATTTAATGAATTTGAGGACTGCCAAGGATTCACAAAGAAGCTAGGAGTTGGAAAAGGGGAAGTGAACTCATTGTTGATGAAAGGAAGAATGGAATTATGAAATATAAATATAAAGAAGAAATGTTGGAATTGAAATTCCATTATGGCCATTGGAATGCCTTTGGTATCCTTCATCATTGAAGAGGGAACAGTGTTTTCTATACAGTTACTAATGAGTTGAGGTAGCAACACATATATATATATATATATATATATATGTTGTAGTTAGTTTTTTTTATCTCAAGTAATTTTTATTTTTCCTTTGTTTCATCTTTATTACCATACCTAAAAACCCTGAGTCGAATACCAATGAAGACAATTGGCAGAAGTCGCATTATCAACTTGGGATCATTTGAGTCACCCTGAATTGCTTTCACTAGATACATAAAGCCATGCAAGATTAGGCGCGAATCTTTACCAGTTAACCTGTAAGTGAAGTCTTTATTTTTAGCTCTATCCTCAAGGAGCCACCTACCTAGTTGTTTTTTCATTCTCCCTGCTTTAACATCTTGTTCCATGGCCTTTAAATACCTGGACATTGCCAAATTGGAGGTCAAATCATCAAGGCTATTTAATTTTTTGGGGAGGTTACTTACAGAAATAGCGAGATCAAGTAACATTGCATGAAAATGTTGGACACCATTATTCTTAAGGTGAAGTGGTTCAACAACTTCCTTGTCACATAGCTTACCAATCAATGGTTTGAATTCTTGTCTGAATTTTTTTTACAGCAATAAATTGAGTTACTTTGGATCTCTTTGTTGATACTGCTAAATGACTAGGTACTTTTTTTCTTGAAATCTTCAACCTGTTTTGCAACATTGATTCTTTCTGCATGCTGCCAAGGCTTCCACTTACAATCATGAGATTCTCCATACTTCCCATTCAGTGCATTACAGTCATCTTTGGAGACATTAGCAAAGCTAGAAAAATATTTAGCCACATTACTTAATTCCCCATTTATATATGCAAGGAGTTTCATATCTCCTGGCAGGAGATCAAAAGAAAAGGTGACATTCTTACCCAATACTGTGTAAGATTTGCTCTCTATTTTTTCCATGTCTGTAGCAAGTTTCACTGTAAAACGAGAAACAACCATGTGGTCCTCCTTACAATTAGCTCCAAAAAGCAAAAAATTGTCACTGGGACTAGCTACCCTGGGCCCCACATTCAAAAAACGTATCAGCCATGACATAGATTGATCCCATTTCCCAAAAGGAGCCCCATCACCCCCTATGGCAACCTTAAATGCTCCCTCCCTCTCACTGAACCACACCAGCTTATCCCCAGGTTTCCTGTACTGATCAGTCTCAAAACAGAACTTGGCCAGCAGAAGTAAAAAGTTCTCCAGGTTTCTACAGACCCCATCAACCTGCTGATCAGGTGGAAGATCGTGGCATAGGGTTTCCCTTATTGAATAAAATTCCCCAACGTCAATTTCTTCAATTTTTTTCATCAACAACCGATAGGGAAGGAGTTTAGGAATGGGATACCCATACCAAACAAAACTCTTTCTTTTGACACAGAACCTAGTTTCTTGGTGTGTTTCTTAGTATTCTTCATAACAAGAGCTGATCTTGTTTGTTCATATTTTACCTTTTCCATCAATCCTCCTGCATAAAGCATAGAAAGTGAACGAATGACATTATGATCACTTTGCTCATACTGCTTAACCTGAGGTTTTATTACTGCTAGACTAGCTTTTCTCATCTTTTTTGATGAAGAAAAGTATTTAGATAGAGCTGCTGTCTTCGCATATTTAGTCAGTGTAGAAAACATGCCATCCAAGGCTGGGGACCTGTCTTCAACAGATCCGCCATTTACCTCTGTTGCTGCAACCAACGTTTCAAGTTGTCTTCTGCTGGCACTTCGCTGCGGCACGTTTAGCTTTCCCTCATCAGTGAGCACAGTTGGACTTTTTTTTTTCTTAGAGTGGATGTGTTAGCTGTCACTTCAAAAACTAACCTTCTTTTAGTCTTGACAGCGGGAAGATCAACTTTTACCAAATCAACATTTTCTTTTATGCGAGTTTTCTGAAAGTCCAAGAACATAAGTTAACCCTTTAAGCCCTATGAATGATCAGCATCAAATTTCTCCTTGTAATATAAATACTTTGTTAAACAGAGTGGTCATGAGAATTGCGGACATGATCACACAAGATGAGTTTGCTTGATATTTTATCAACTTCTTCCCACTTCTTCTGTACGAAATGAATGTAGCGAATTTAACTTAGAGAACATTTACTCTGAAGTAAATTTTAGCGGATCGATGGAAAAATCGCAAAAATAAGAACCCGCAAAATTTTCGTGCCACACGGTAGTCCTCTCCTTTCACTAAAAAAACCTTTTTCAAGCTAAACTTACCTTATTCTTGAGTCGCTGAAGCCTTTTTTTAAGGTACAAATTTCCTTTGATTTCGAAAGGTACTCCGCTCGAAGAGTAGCCCTCCGCTTACTGAGCTCCCCAACAGGAAAATTTGACTTGCATTTATTCGATGTAGTGCTCTTTCTTCGTGACTTGCTCCCCATGTAAACCGCTCAGCGAACCATATAAACGCAAAAATCTCTAAGAAGCAGAGGCATCCGGTAAAAAACCAAAACGAGGAAAACACAGCCGAGGTTTCAGGTCTTCTGTTTACGATAACATACCTGGCAATAATACGTTTCCCAGCGAGAAAATTTTCGACAAAAATACTCAATTTTTCTTGAAGGACTGAGAACTCAGTGTGCGTGAAACAGAGAGTAAAAGTACAAGGGAAAATTTTGCCGAAGAAAGATGTAAACGCATGCAAATCGCATATCAACAGAAAGCTTAAAGCCTGTAGAAATTTGTTTTTGAGTGGGAAAAACTCCCCTAGTACCCATTCCTCCGCAAATGGCCAAATTCTGACCAGGACTCTTGAGCGAAAATGGCTGCCAAATGACCGCGCTATAGAACTGCTAATTAGGGACTGGAAACTGGGGACACAAAACTTGGCCAAAATTGGCACAAAAATTTCCAAGCGTGGACTGCTATATGTGTTGACAAAAGAAAATAAGTCTTTTAGAGGTAAACGTGATACTGAGATACTCTATAATCACAGTCAATCTATTGATTGACAGCATCAGTGTTTACCTTAGCAGTACTCTGGACACTAGTCCAAGACTATGTACAAGAAACTGAGTTTACTTGAGTTACATATGTAGACACTTCTCATATCAAGATATTAATATGAATATAGAAATAAGCAGGGCTCCTTTGATTAGCAAAAAAAACACAAATACAGAATAATTGTGTTTTCTAGCATTGTACAACTTTTTCGATTCTGAATAAAAGAATACTGAAAGGTAATCAAGTCAGAGGAGCACCTGACAAGCCCTTTTTTTGAAAGGCAGTGCTCATATGAAGTAACTGAGATAATCCAGGATAGGAGCAGTGGAAGGAATGTAAAAGAATGTTTACTTAGCGCTATAGGATTTTTCAATTGGGTTCAAGTAAAAAGTGAGTAAAAGTTTTCTTACAATGCACTGTTAATGTAGCAGCATCTGAGTAAACTGTCCTCACACTGTTGGTAGCCACACATCTGTATTCTCCACTGTCTGTCCTATTCACATTTGTAAGACTCAGTTGTTTGTTATCTGCTGATAAACTGATTCTATCGTCGGCAGTTACCTCAGACCAGTCCTTGGTCCAAGAAAATGTTGGTTCAGGAATGCCATTTGCATCACTTGAAAAGGTTATACTTCCCCCTTCCCTGAATATTTCAGGATTTTTAGGATGTGTGGTGAATGCAGGCTGTTCTATAAGCAGTAATGTCACATTTTAACAAAACAAGTACACATTTTCCGGAAATAGGGTATATGATAAGTAAGTTGGATAGCTGTTTATCATATAATCTTGATGCTAAGTACATGTAAATCAGATAATTCCTACGGATTTGTCGTCTCAGGAAAAATTGATACGTATAATCTAAATACTTCACTACAGTATACACTATACTAAATATTACAGTTTAGACTCCCATAAGCGATAACCCAAACTGCCAATACTAGAGTAGATGATTCAGCAAATGAGAGATGGTCACAAGAAAATAGAATCAAAGGAGTCAGCTCTACTATGAACAGACCTGTCTGACTTACCTGTTTATTCAATGAAATTTGTAAGAAGTCATGTTGGGTAGGAGTTTGCCATCTATGATTACAAATTCTGTCCTTCCGAGAAATAAATCCATTCATTTTGCTACCCTACTTAATTTAAAATTGGAGATGTGGTGTGCCGGGTACGGGCATTCAGGAATTGTAAGTTAAGCGGTGAAGATGGAGTAAAGAAACCATGTTGACTTTTTTTCTGTGTGATAGACTTAGGGCGCTTTCCATTTAGTCAAAATTTCCGGAATTTCCGCTT